CCAGACTGTATGCCATCTGAAAGGATTCTTACATCTAAACATCCAGATACAGCTGAACGAAAAGATGTTGCCAATGTCATTGGTGCAGAAGAATGATGATCGCTGAAATGAGTTCGGCAGCACTTTATTTAATCTTTCACATTAACGAAATCAAAGATCGAGGAGAATTGGACTATAGGGCAGTGGCAAGCCTAAGGAAGAATTAGCTAAAATCATATCTTAGAACTTCGGTTTCATTATTTTTTATACCTAAAAGCTCGGGATTCGATTCAGCTCCTTAGATCAGTTCATTTTTCTTCAGAGTTCATGGAAGTCTTTACTGTACTAAGCGACTAGATCCTTGATTAAATTAGTTCTTACAGGTGCTTATGCTTTACAGCAAACTCAACGTTGTACCCGTTACCTATACTTACAAGAGTTCGCTTGTACGGGAGTCTGATAATATGTAAGAAGAATGTCTTCGTTACGTTATTGTAGTACAACACGCAATGCGAGATGACTAAGACGGTTAGACATGCTGCTAATGCGGCCGTATTCTAACACTCTGCAACTATGTATAATACGAAAGAAATTGGAATCGCCACTCCGCGTGGATGCAATTTGTTCAGCAGCTTTCTCGGCCATTTGAAAGTTATAAACAAAGGCATATCGACAGCTTTCGGATTATGTTGTGCTTAATTTAGGCAAAATGCAATTTTCCATAGCTCCATCTCCTATTGGCCTGCAGTGTTTGCTTGGTTGGGTATCGTACTCTCGGAAAGGGCATTGCGCCATGAGATCCTCGTCGCTCGACAACGTGCCAACCGCTCATACGGTAGTTGACCTCGTTCGATCCTTCTGGACTTCGTTGGCTACCTGTTGCTTTACACCATGTGGGTTTGATCGACATTATCTCTGTGCCTATGGCCAAGATCTGCTCTCTTGCTGCTTCCTTGCGAATGAGTTTAAAACCTCTTCTATTATTGCACTATTTCGTACGATGTCTGGCGGAGCTCGTCCTACTCCGCCCTCCTATAGAAAGCTGCTGGCATTCTCTTCTCCTGCTAGCAGGCACCCGTCCCGTGGCTACACACCATGAGGCAGGGAGTGCCATTATGGTAAGATACTACTTCCTCTCTATTATATCATGAAACATTTCCATTGTGAGAGTCCTATGGCGGTATCTCTCTGCATTCAATATGCACCGAGTTCACCTCATCACTTTCCGCTGGAAGTGATTTTATGCAAATATGTAGCTTATATAGTTACTGATAAGGTTTTCCTCAGAGTTCATAGTATTGATATACTATTTCGTATG